GATGTTTTTTCGATTTTCGCCCTACCCCCCCCCCCCCCTTCCCCCCCCGTCTCTTCTTTTACACACACACACATCAAAGATGAGTCACCGTCATCCCACAGTCACTCAGGAAAAAACACTGTTCACCACTAACACATACCTCCACAGTACTGCACAGTACTACACAGTACTGCAGTATCTGCTCGTACAGACACAACAGAAGACCTGAGAACATGGTTCTTCAACCGTCAGAACGGTCACCTGGTACGACGGCAGCCGTGGTGTCAACGTCACATGGTCCACAGCTACAGTCAGACTGTACGGCTGTACTTTACACCTGGTGACTTTCAGGTACTTCATCTGTGTACTCTGACACACGTACACGTACTCTGTGTGTGTGTGAACCCACTGACCATCACAGTCAACAGGTGGACTGTTACCAGTGACATCATCAGACCAGCTCTCAGTCTGATGTAACACTGATGTGTTTCTACACACGATGAAGATGAAGATGATGAAGATGATGATGATGAGTAACAGCTTCAACCTTCGTCACGTCAGTTGCTCATGCAGCAAAAACAAAACCAGCATGTGTGGCTCTACTTGTTTACACTGCCACCCTGTGGCCGAGGACTAAAGTGCAGGGAACTGCTGAGCAGCCAGTAGCGAGTGTGAATCCTAGGAAGGGTGAGTGACGTTAACCAATCCACGTCCTTCTTTCCCGCCCTCCTCAGTTATTAAAATTACACGACCTCACCGCGTACATGTACCAGCCCTCCTGATTGGTCAGACACACTCAGCAGCACCAATCGAAACACTCAGAATAAAATTTAAAGTCAACCTTGGTGCATGATTTAAATTGAGTTTTAATTATAAATAAATAGATTTATGTTTAGGTATTAATAACAAATGAGAATAGAATTATAATTTTATAAATTGAATCATAAAATTATAAATTGAGACACTTCTTCAGTACAGAACCTGGTCAGACCATGGTACTAATGTAGACCACCTCCCTAAATTAAAACCCACTGTTGACCCCTAGTGGCCACTGTAGTTTAATACTGTTCCACTGAATCCCTGCTGCCCCCTGACGACAGGCCCAGGTGTCGACCTCTGTGTGGCTCTCCTACTGGACCGCGACCCAGATGTTTTCTTTTTTAGGAAACAGCTGTTGTACCTTCTGTGTTTAACTGTTCTGTAGAACATTGGCTTTAAATAGTCGACATTAGCGTTGAGAACAAACTAATCATCAGAACCAGACAGAACGTACCGCTGCTTGGTTTGGGAGCCGACCTCGGACCAGGACTTCCTCTGGACTGGTACCAACTCTTCTCCTTCTCCCGCTCCCACTTTCTGTGTGGAAGTTTCAGGGGATAGTACTCTTTCCGGTCCATGTACTCTCTGTTACTGAAGTGGTGGTGTTTCTGGCTGCCAGCCCTGGATTTGTGTGAAGAGTACCCCCTAGTGGTGTAACTGTAAGACGAGCAGAGAGGAAAACTATCAGCCACAGATTCAATCATCAACACGTGAAATTTAACAAAACTGAATAACATTTTTTTGGACAAAAACAAAAATGGAAAATCATCCATTTGTTCAATTGATTTTTCATCAATACTTTCCTTATACACAGAACTATAATACACAGAACTATAATACACAGAACTATAATACACAGAACTATAATCATTTGATGGTTTTTGCTCCTCATCCCAGGAGTCTCACCCATGTTTGTAGAATCGCCCCTTATGTTGAGGTTTGTAAAAACCGGACGACCACGCCCGGGGTGTGGAGGGGCTCCGGACTCTTCTAATGGGCCTCACCTCCTCCTGATTGGACCAAAGTAAAAACACGGGTCACACTGTAGTACTGTGGTACTGGACACACAGACCAGAGCAGTACAGTGAAGTACTTGTCATGTACTAGTCATGTACCAGATCAGGAGACGGAGAGAAGTCACTCATGTTTTGGCTCGGTGACTCATCAGTGTTCCACATCATGGAGGCCTAAAAGAAAAAACAAAAAAAAAAACATGACGAATCAAAACTGGACATTTAAAAATACCAACAAACCTGATGAGAATCTGTTTGGTTTGACTTCAAACGAGACGCTCGTCATTTCAGGTGATTCACACCGGACCAGTACTTCAGTACTACGGTGAAAATACTACACCAATATATTCTCATTTTTATTTTTTTTTAAATATACCGGCGTTAAATATTTAAAATACATTGTTTATTTATAAAGTTAAAAGTAAATAACTTTTAAAAATAAAACAAAATAGCCTTTATATATATGTACAGTATATATGTATATGTACACATACATACACACACATACATAAGCAAATACATAAGTACTTATAATGGTATTACAACTACAGTACAGTACAGTACAGTAGGCCAATACTTTGTGTATGTGTGTGGATGAAACACCTGTGACGTTTCACCTACTCTGCTGCTCTGCTGTGAACTCTGGCTCCACACGTCAGCCATGATTCTTCGTCTTCGTGTGGGTTTGTTGTTTAACGACACTCGGACTTTAACACGGTTTGTTCCCACACATTTTAAATGAGATTAAAGCTCACGTTCTCGTCCGTCTGTGATAGTTCCACATGTACTGAACCGTGACAAACTTTTCGGAAAACGACGAAGCAGTTGTTGACTTCCGGTACTAGCGCCGTCCAATCAGCTTCAGACTGCGGTTGAACAGCAAAGGGACTTTCCGTCAAAGGAAAATAAACTCACAGGGGGAAAAAACCGTTTATAATGTTTATATTTTTATCGTGTCTAAGAAAAATAAAAACTTTAAAATAGAACTATGAGTAGAGGAGTAAAAACAAAGATCAACTCAGAGCAGCTAAACCTTAGCAAAACTGAGTCGAAGAAGACGCTGCTGTCAAAGATACGCATGCGCAGTCACTCCTTTCTGCAGGTCTGCATTTCACCAAAGGGTAGCGCTGTTTGACTGGATGGACACGGAAGTAACGTCTGTCATTAAAGTTTATTTTTACTCACAGAGCTTTAAATCGAGGTTAGAACGATGTGAGACAAAACAAAACACAGGCCATTCTTTCCATACCCCACACTGCTGCCCCTACTGGTCATAAAAGAGTATTTATCATGTGTAATAACAGAGGAGGTGACAGAGCTCCTCCAGATTCTACTGTTTGTCTGACATGATAATAGTATGTATCATGTGTAATGTCCAGATTCTACTGTTTGTCTGACATGAAAAAATAAAATATATAAAAAATGAAATTGAAATATGAACTTGTAAGTGTAAACTTTTGTAAACTGTTGATCAAACTCAGAGAACGGAGGCAACAACAACTTTTTATAACGTGTGTTAAATCAAAGACACACACACGTCTGAGGCCGAACCGTCACATGACCAAACTTCTGTCTTAAATGTGAGCTGAACACAGTCACGTCCATTCATGGTTGGACAATCACACGCTGTCCGTCTCTAAAGAGTGAGCTGTGAGCCCAGGTTTGACCCACGTCTTCATTTCCTTCAGTTTAAAGATATTTTTGCTGGAACTGTTGGAGGAACACAACGTTCCCTCTGGAACTTCCTGTCAATAAGTTCTGGTTAAAGGCTGAGTGACATCAGGAATACCAGGAAAACTAGAGCCACGGTAGTGTCTCTTCCTGGAGTGTAGTATTGCTGTCTCCACCCACTGTCTCCACCCATCTGACTTCTTTATGCTCAGGACGCACACTAATTAAAAGCAGACTCTTCCACATGGCTTCAGGAGGCCCGCAGCTCCACGGAGTCCTGGTCTGGAGCTGACGCCCCACTGAACGCGTTCATCAGAGGACGGCGTGTGAAGCTGAACCAGAACCAGGAGCAGGACCGTGATCCTGGACCTGTGGTGAGTCGTCTCTGTGTCGTCAGTTTCTGTCTGTGGGAACTTGTCAGAACAGGTTTTCCCTCCTGTGGGGGAAGTGTCAGAAACAGTTCTGTGTGACTGTTGAGACAAACACTGAGTTTCCTGGGATTGAGTCGAACTGTTGCTGGTGTCGACTGAAACACAGGTAAATAAACGTGCTGACACCTGTCTTCACCTGGGGTCGTCTCATCTTACTGTAACAGAATCTTCTTCTGCTGTGAGACGTCACCGACACACGGTTCAAATCGTTTTATAAAAGGACGGAGAACAAAGAGAGTCTGAAAAAGTTGACTTGTTGTCAGTTAAAGATCACGTCGTTGATTTGTTTCGGTTTTTTTTTTCAGTTTGAGACATTAACATCTTTCCTCAGAGTCAACGACATAATCTAACCTGGAATTCTTCGGAATCCTGAGTCACTGTGGAATTCCACTTCAGGGAAGAAGACATGAGGTAAGAGCAGGACCATGTCAGTGTCTGGTGGTCGTCAGCTGAGGGTCTGTCACAGCCACAGAGTTTAGTTTGTTTTTTATCTTCTCGATGAAATGACATCAGCACTGACAGAACTGTTGTTTTTCTTTTCGATACTCCACCTGACAGTTTTATAAAATCACAGTTTTCATCCAGCGTTTTCCGTCTCAGGGTTCAAACCTGTACCAGAGCACAGATTCTGCAGGAGTTCCACCTGCGGTGCCACACGCTGGCGGCCAACGGTAACAGAGGCTTCAAAAAGGAGTTTGAGGTAAAAGTTGAAGAAACTGAAAATCAATTATAATTCATGAAGCTTGAAGCACGCGAGTCAGTGACAGTGACACCTAGTGGCCGTGCCTTTGTGTGTGAAGGAGCTGAATGATGTTGGCAAAGACCTCCCAACCAGAGCGGGGGAGTCAGAGGTCAACAGAGAGAAGAACAGATACCCCTACATCTTACCATGTGAGGGCAGACACCGTCAGAGTAGCAGTACAAGTACTGCAGTAGCAGTACAAGTACTGCAGTACAGCGGAGTGTGTTTAATGTCATAATCTTTTTACTCCTGACCAACAGATGACCACTGCCGCGTCAGGCTGTCCATCCAGAACTCCGTCACACACACCGACTACATCAACGCCAACTTTGTGCCTGTGAGGACACACCCACCCACTCACCCACTCACCCACCCACTCACCCACTCACCCCTTTACTCACCCACTCACCCATTTACTCACCCACCCACTCACCCATTTACTCACCCACTCACCCATTTACTCACCCACTCACTCTTGTTGTTATGATGCCCTGCTGACCGTCTGTCCTGGTGCCTCCTGGGGGGGTCGGGGGGGGTGTGTGTGTCCAGGGGGGAGGATCAGAGCGAGACTTCATCTGTACACAGGGTCCTCTGAACAACACCATGGCAGACTTCTGGAGGATGGTGTGGGAGCAGAACGTCAGGATCATCGTCATGGTGACAGCACTGAGGCACAAGGACACGGTACGTACGTGTGTGTGTGTGTGTGTGTGTGATGATGTTTCACCTCCAAAACAAGTACACAAATGTCCACAAAGACATTTTTCAATAGGTCAAAGGTCAATTATTGTATAGTCAGTGGATCCTCAACCTGTTACTGTCATCAAGAACAAAATACAAACTGAGTTTGAATTAAATAAAAAATCATTTCTATTTGGACATTAGTTCAGATAAATAGTCCTAAAACTTTTCCTTTTTAAATACAATACAAGAAAATACAATCACGGCATCCGACTGTAGTATCCGACTGTAGTATCCGACAGCGGTTTACTGCTGGGTAGAAGTATTGATCAGATTACCACTTCAAAAGCCAAAGTAAAACAGTGTCATTGAGTCTCGGAGCGTCGTCGTCATGGAGATGAAAGTCCATTTATACCTGCTGACCAAACCAGGACACAGGACACACAGACTTCAACTTCAACGTGAGCAGCCTGTGGACTGGACGAGGACCACGGGTCACCATGTGAGGGCAGCGGTTCTGACCCTGTAGACACAGCAGTGGGAGAAATGTCACCGTCTAAATCAAGAAGGTCATAAATATGGAAAAAAAAACCCATTTAACTTTTAATAGTTTTCTCCCCCCCCCCCGTCTCCCCCGTGTCTCCCCGTCGTCGTCTTCAGGTGCTGTGTGATAAGTACTGGCCCATGGAAGGAGGGGCCGTTCAGTACGGACTGGTCCAGGTGACAAGAGTGGGCTGCAGACAAGGCCCAGATTATTTAGTCACCACCCTGAACCTCAGACAGGTGAGGACAAACACACTGTGGACGAGCGTCTGTGTCCAGCGTGTCCACTGAGTCTGCTGTTTGTTGTTTCAGAGAGACTGTCCCACAGACAGGACCGTCTCACACTACTACTACCAGACCTGGCCCGACCGGGGCACCCCCAAGAACCCCTCCTCCTTATGTGCCTTCACGGAGCACGTGAGGCAGCACCTGGAGTCCATACCTCGTCTGGGTCCGGCCGTGGTCCACTGCAGGTCTGACCTCTGTCTGGGCCCCCGGGCCTCGTGTTTGAACCGGGGCTGCAGATGTTCTCTGAAGTCCACTCTGTGTTTCTGGTCCCTCAGTGCAGGCGTGGGGCGCTCGGGGACCTTCGTCACCTTACTGTGGCTGATGCAGTTGTGCGTTCGTGGGATCCAGCCCGATGTCCGAGCCGCCGTGGAGGACCTGAGGCTGCACCGCATGTGGATGGTCCAGACCCTGGTGAGTACCGCACTGAGGCTGGAGGTCCTTCGTCTTCTGTTGCCGGGCCAACACAACAGAAACACAAAATATTCACTGTAAGGCGAGAGCTGTCACCACTGTGCCACCCTGTGGCCAGGCATCGAACTTCAACAGGAAGCAGCCTGTGACCAATGGGACGGGAAACAAAACACTGAACAATAACTATTTACTATATATGTTGTGTTTTACTGCAGTGATTCCCAACCTCTGTGCCGTGGCCCACTAGTGTGCCGTGAAAAATGATCCACTTTCACCTAATTGGCCTGAAAACTGCTACTTATTTATCGCAGATAGTTTTTCTTTGCTCGCCGTAGCAGGAAAGGCAGAACAATGAAGAACTCTTCTGCTAGGTGGCAGCAGATGGCTGTGAAAACTAGGCTGAAGAAGAAGGTCTTTGTGAGTGTCTTTCTTCAATTCCTGCCTGTATATCAGTGCTGTCTTCAACTAAACAGGCTGTGATTTTAGTCAATGATGAGGTCAATTAAACTAGAAGATTATTAGAGTTCATCACAGACTTTTTGTTTTTGGTTGTGCCGTGGCTTAAAAAAGTTTGGGACACACTGGTTTACTGCACTGCACTGTACTGTAGTATACTGTACTGTACTGTAGTGTACTGTACTGTACTGTACTGCACTGTACTGTACTGTACTGCACTGCACTGTGCTGTACTGTACTGTACTGTACTGTACTTGTACCTCCTGTTGATTATCTCCTCTTCTGTTCAACAAGGAACAGTACATATTTGTGCATCAGTGTCTGCTGCAGTGGCTGAGTGGACCACGAAGAAGCTCAGCAGGGTAACACACACACACACACACACACAGACACACACACACACGCCTCGGTCAGCACATCCTCAGTGACTCCAGGGTACGATGATTTAGTCGGGGGTCTTCTCTCTCCTCCTCAGCGGCCCCCAGCCTCAGACACCAGCCCACCACCAGGACCAAGCTCACGGCTCGTCTGGACCAGAGGAGAGGACAGGGAGGAGGAGGCGTCCTCGCCGTGGACACACACCTCTCCCCGAGCCTCCACAGAACACCATCCAGCAGCTGTTGCACCCTGGGAACCTGCTGAGGAGGTTACTGCCGTCCTCGTCTCCGACGAGTCCAGGAAACAACGCCTCCTGACCTGAAGCTGCCGAAGACGGTGGGTTAAAAGGTCAGGACGGGAATCTGGTGCGACAACAGGACAGGAAGTGGATGGTGAACGAACACACATGACACATTTGAACCAATATCACCAGTAGAAACAGCTGAAGCAGCCGTCCGACAGGTCCGACCAGTCCGACCGGTTCTTTTGTTGCTTACTCACACGTCAACATCAGTTCTGACGTCTCTGAGACAGAAGTGAAAACGTCCTCAGATCAATGGTCTGATCATCTGACGTCTCCTTCTTCTTCTGTGGAAGTGGACCACATTAACCCCTGTTAATGGACTTCAAAGGGCCGGCACCAGACGGGTTCTTGCTGTGAGGAGCTGGACGACGACGACGGTCTTCTGCACGATATTTGGACAAAGTGTTTGAGAAGCAAAAGAACTTTCTTTTTGTTCTAGATCGTTCTCCCTCCCCTCGTGTGTAATGATCCAGTTTTCCTTCGTCATTTTATCGTTGCTCACTTTTAGATCAGACTGTTTTAGAGTTTAGATTTAATTAACCTAAATGAGCTCCACCTGTTCAACAGACCAACACCGACCGAGACGAACGGCAGCCATGTTGGAATGACCCCCGAACAGGACAAACGTAGACTGCATTGGGTCGATCGGGACATGATCTGTCTTAACGTCAGTGGAGACTGTTCAGTCAATGTGTTTCTGCTAATAGCAATAAATTATATATGTACATACATCCATCCATCCATTTTCATCTGCTACCGGGTCACTGGGGCAGCAGTCTCCACCCACATCACATTGCACCGTACCAACCCCCCTGAACCTTCCTGCAGGTGGTGAGTCCACTGGAAGGTACCAACCGCCCTAACAGAGATTTGAACTTGCCCAGGAGGTGAACCCTGGGGTTCCACAACAATGACAGAGACATTGCCTCTGGGCCAAAGCACCACTACATATATACATATATGTACATATATGTATACCTTTAACCTCTGTCTAAAAACTAAAATCATTTATAAAAAACCAAAGTCCACGTATTTTGACAAACTACGTTGGTCATTTCCTGTCGATTGGCTGATAATTTATTAATGTTCTTTTCCTACTGGTGAAATATTGCAGTAAGTACTTGTATTGTTTTGGAATAAAAAGATATTGTGCAACATCTTCAACACAGTGCAGTGAAATATATGTACAGTATTTGAAAGGCTGACACTCGTTTATCACGGCTGTACAAAAAGGCTGTGGTGTGAAGAGCAGTGAAGGAAGGAACCAGTACCAGTGGCACGATTTAACACCAGGCGTCACCTGGTCTCTCTACAGTCTGTCCTGTCATGAACATGTTGCACCCCAACATGTTCATGACAGGTGGCGCTCTGGGGCTGAGATCTGAGGGTACACTGAGGACACAGGAAAGAGTCCAGCAGCAGGTTCTGTTTCCTCATTAGTCCCTCTGCTACATCGCCGCCGTGTGGTGAGGGCCTGTAGCTGCAGGTGGGTGAAGTTGTGATGAACGGCAGGAGTCTTTGGCGTCTTCGTGGGACCTCAGCTTGAGTCACAACAGCTCTCCTCGTTATCACAGTACAACAGACGGAAGAAAGAAGGAGTGCAGACCAACCTGACTGAATATTACAGACTGAAACAGGAAGAGACCATGATGATCCAGACCAAAGGTCAACAAAACAAACAATAAAATAATTAAGGTCCAATAGTAGTGTCCAGAACACGTGTCCATAAAAACAAAACCAAACCCAAAAAGTCTCGAGTGGCCACTCCAGCCAGAAGCATGATTATCTGGTATCCACACACACACAACCACTGTGAAGATATGCCGGCTGACAGAGATCAACCGTCAACCACGGGTCGGTCAACTCCAGAGTCTACTGCACGCTCTCCAACAGGCTGAAGGCCTCCTGGATTTCACGGACCACCAGGATGCGGGCCAGCATCTGCCCCAGCTGCTCCTGAGGGATGTGCTGCGTGGAGTACCATATGGGACTGTTGGGGGCCACCACGGGCTCCGGGGTCAGGTAGAAGGTGTCGCTGCGACCTTTAGCACTTTGTGGACTGGGAGAAGCAGAGAAAAGGCCGGAGTGAGTCTGTGGGAGTCCTACTTCAAACATGGATAAATAAACACTAACTTTATCACTACATCCCTATTGTCAGCATGAGAGTGCACAATAGTGTCAGTGCTAACAGTATCTGACCAAAGGTCAAAGGTCATCATCTCAGGTCACTGTGCAGAACCTGTTCTTCTGGTGGTGACAGATGTAAACAGCTGCCTAAGACTTCTGCACAGCGGTGAAGGTACTGTGGTTTTTTCTTTTTCTCTGACTCTACAGTAAAGTGTCAGATTTCTGCTGATTCAACACAACGCTGGAAACAGAAGTTGACATTTTAACATGTCAGCAAAGACAGAAACATAATTCACCCTGCGTTTAGTTGAAGTTTGGAGACAGAAACATAAATGAATTTTACCTCCAGTAGAAACAGGGCGAAAGTTATTACACAGCACCTGTGTTCTTGCCTGTTGCCTAGCAACTGAGCTTTTTCAGGTTGCCTTTCTGCACAGAGTGCAGTATCTACTCCACTGTGCATGTCAATAACACAGAGAGATTTGATGTCCTAAGGTGGCAACAGCAGTAACAGCAGCAGTAACAGCAGCAGTAACAGCAGTAACAGGAGCAGCAGTAACATCAGCAGTAACATCAGCAGTAACAGGAGCAGTAACAGGAGCAGTAACAGGAGCAGCAGCAGCAGTAACAGCAGGAACAGCAGTAACAACAGTAACAGCAGTAACAGCAGCAACAGCAGTAACAGCAGCAGTAACAGGAGCAGCAGCGACAGTAACAGCAGCAGCAGTAACAGGAGCAGCAGTAACAGCAGTAACAGCAGTAACAACAGTAACAGCAGTAACAGCAGCAGCAACAGCAGCAGCAGCAGTAACAGCAGCAGTAACAGGAGCCGCAGTGACAGTAACAGCAGCAGCAGTAACAGCAGGAACAGCAGTAACAACAGCAGCAGTAACAGTAACAGCAGTAACAGCAGCAGCAGTAACAGGAGCAGTAACAGGAGCAGTAACAGGAGCAGCAGCAGCAGTAACAGCAGTAAGTTCAGGCTCTACTTCTTCCTTCAGTGACTCAGGTCAGGCTGTTTGTAGAGCCCACATTCTACTGAAGACAATCATTTTTCTCTTCAGTGAATCGTTGGGGTTTTTTTTATTTAAAAAGTTTCATTTTTACCATTTGAAGAGGTAGAAGTCGTAGAGTTTGATGGGACAGCGCAGAGGGTTGTCTGGATCCTCCAGCTGCTCTGAGTACATGTCGTCTGTCACTGAACACAGAGGAGACGTCTGTCAGTGTGTGTGTGTGTGTGAGTGTATTCAGCAGTGTGTATCACTGGACTGGACACTGGACATATTGGGGGCCAGCGGTGATTGTTAGTTATCGTTGGCTAAAAGTTTCTCTGTGGCTGGACCAATCACAGCCGAGGCCCAACGTCCCCTCCCTGGTGTCGGCTCAAAATGTCCAGGTGGATTTTGTGTCCAGGTCCAGTCCTGGTGTGAATATGTGTCTGTGTGTGTCGTTCATTTGTGTATTTTGTGATGTGTGTGTAGTGAGTTTTCATTGGTCAGATTTGAATGTAAACAACTGAAACCCCACTGGCTTCAAGAAAACAACAACTTAAATTTGACCCCAGTGTGTTTGTGACCTCTGACCCCTGTACATCAACACAGCCCCTCGACAGAACACAGAAAACACAGAGGGGGAACATCAACACCCAACACTAAACTCCAGGTCATTCCTGGGGGGTCCTCACCCTTCTGGCCTGCGAACCTCTCTGTGGACTTCAGATAGCGGATGCTGGTGGTCTTGTCTTTGGGGTTGTTGGGACTTTTCCTCGTGTGTCTGAGTACTTTAGAAAAGCCCACCTTCAGATGCTGCTCCACCGTCTTCAGGTGAAAATACCTGCAGAGAAGGAAAATATTTGTTTGATATTAGACGGCACTGAGCGACACGCAGTACTGCGTACGGGCCAGAGGGCGGACACACTGACTTGGTGTTGAAAAACATCAGAGTGGTGAGCAGTGTTGACGGTGAATGAGCTCCCAGCTGTTTACACTCCCACAGCATCTCCTCTGTCACGTGACTGGGTATTACATAACCTGTTAGACCGGAGAGAGACGACAGGGAAGCTGAGCCAGGTGAGGAAAGTCAACAGGTGACAGGATCATCGCTACCGACACAACACCACCCTCTGCTGACCAACTGAGGGATGACAACTTTATATTGTCCATTATAAAACAAAACAATCCTCTGCAGGGACTCTCCTGAACTCTCAGATTTTGAAGCCACTTCTCTGACCTAGTGAATGGACGCTCGGTGTCCAAGGCTCCAGGATCTGGTACAGGCTGTGAGCGAAGCGTGTGTAGTACTGGTCTGAGAAGATGTCGTCCACGCGACCGTTGTCAAACAGATACTGCAGGAAGGAGCGGACAGACAGAGAAGCAGGGTCAGTACACCACCAGGTGGCAGCAGCAGTGAGGTGAGTCTCAGCTGGAGGAGTCAGCTCACTTTCTGTATGCAACGAAACACATAGTAAAGGACGTCAGCGTCAAAGGTCTCCTCCTGCAACCCTCGAGCCTCGGTGGTCATCAGGGAGAGACCCACGCAGAGCTCGGCCACGGCACAGGACACCAAGTCCTCCTGGAATCGCAGGACCTGACGGCCTGGAAAACACACACACACACACACACATACTGGCCATCAGCTTCAGAGACGGACAATCACACAGTCTGTCAGTCAGGTGACTGTGAGACCGAGTGATTTCACGATGAAACCAGTCTGAACCAGATGACAGACGGACTTACGGCCGATTGGAGCTAATTTGTTGTTCTCCGCTTTGTCCAACTCGGCATTTTTCTTCTGAGCCCAAAGTCTCCAGACTTCAAGTCCTTCTTCTGGCTTCAGCGTGGCCGGCAGCAGCAGCTCCTGCACCTGCACCTGCTGCTGCACTTGTCCGTCCACCTCTGTTACCACGGCCTGGGCCTGAAAACACAACCACAACAACAACAACAACAACAACAACAACAACAACAGGCTCACAGGAGGAAACACAGGGCTGGAGCTCAGAGACCAAACCCCGGCTCCACACCCGTCCTTCTACCTGCAGCTGATGCCCCTCCTGCCCCGTCAGGCCTTGTGTGTGCAACACCTGCTGCTGCGGGTCCCAGATGAGAGACTGTGTGGTGTTGGAGTAACCCTGCACCGCCACTGGGATGTGGATGTTCCCGTTCATCAGCTGGGCAGGAAACAGCGTGTTGGCAGCCAGCGTGTGCACCACTTCTTCCTGCCCCCCCATTCCTCCAGAGCTGGTTATGCTGGAAAGGGCCTGTGCCGTCAGACTGTGACTGGAGGGGCTCTTCAGCTTGTCGTTTTCAACAGTCACCTGCGTTGACAGGGTGTTGGCTGTTGTAGTGTTTGCCCCCGACACCTGCACTGTTCCGTAGGCTTCTTGGGGGATCGCGATGTGTGTCACCTGTTCCCGGCCACCGGAGGCAGCAGGAGCGGAATACACCGGGATGGTCCAGGTTTCCCCCGTGGGACTGGTGATGGTGCCGGTGGCGCTGTACAGATGAGAACTGTCTACAGTCAGGAGGTCCGGCCGCAGAGACAAGTAACTCTGCTGCTGGCCCTGACCCTGAGGGATGGCCAGGACCGTGGCCACCTGCTGACCGGGCAGGGCGTACGACACGGTGATGGGCATGTCCACTTTACGCTTCTTGGCTGGTTGCAGGACGCCGGCCCCCTGGGTGGTGGCAACTGTAGTTGCCAGCTGCTGAGTGGGGGACAGGGCACCGACGGTCTGGATCTGGATCTGTTGTCCTCCGGCTACTGCTGCCACCAACTGAGCCTGGAGCTGAAACACAACCGTGGTCAAACGACTTCAACCTCAGGTGTGAAGAACACGTCAGCCATCGTGGTGCTCAGACGTACCTGTTGCTGCTGCTCCTCTGTCAGCTCTCCAGGCTGGATCAGCTGTGCCGTGGTCACTCCTTGTAGCTGTTGATGTGAACTGGAGGGCACTTGAAGGACCTGGCCCAACATCTGACCCTGGTGCTGGTCCTGAATCTGAACCTAAAGATGTGGTCAATGAAATGTTCTAATTTATTCATCAATAAAAAACAAAACAGGGTTTGAGGTCAGGTGAAACACATTCAACTTCATTTGTAAATAAAGAGAAATAAAAAAAGTCCTCATTTCACCTGAAACACCTTTTACTGCAGCGACAGTTATTCACACTGTGACTTGACTCTGCAGCAGCCTGAACAGATCTGTGTTCCATCTGAAAATCTACAATCTGCTCCTGAATCTAATGTCAAAAACAAATAACAACAGGTCACACCTGCACTATCTCCTGCTGTACGCTCTGTTCTGCCTGTTGCTGAGACGTGGAGTCAGGTATATGTTGCTGCTGAGGCTGGACCTGCACTTGAACCTGTCAAAACCGGACAGAGTCAACGTAAATGTATAATCTATCACAGAACTGTTAGCGCTCATTAATGATGATTTACAGCACAATAACTCACCGGACAGGCCAGCTCCAGTAAGGACCCGGCCACCTCCGTACTGTCTGTGTAGATGCAGTTGGAGTCCTGCTGGTAAACCACTGTGGTGGTGGTGGTCGTAGTGTCTTCACTTTGCTGGCTAAATTCTTGCAGGGCCCCCGGACCCTTGCTGGCCAACGATTCCAGAAACTCCTTCATGCGATGTTGAGGGATGCTCCGAGCTTTCTGCCTCACCAACTCCTCGTAGGAGCCCGTCCCCTCCAGGGAGTTATTCATTGCCACCCTTGATGACCCCTTATTGAGAGGTCAGTCTGCAGAAATGGCTGAAGAAAACACAAGACTTCATTGAATCAATAAATATTATAAGGACTTAAAAAAGACTGAATGACTGCACTCCTACCCTCCTTCGTTCATTCACATGTATATTAAACTAATTCACATTTGTGTAGTGGCATTCACATCACATCCCAACACAAACAGATTTTTTTCTAATACGCCAAAAACAGAGCCGTTCTATTACGTTTTATTTTATTAAAAATTCTACAATTAGAATTGTTTTTTAGATTTGTAAAACAGACATGTTTAGTTCACTGGGTCCATTTCATTACAACATGCATTAATATTTTATGAATGATTATGAAACCCTCAGCTGTCAGCACTTGACACCAGACAGTGATGAAAACTAACATTTAGTCATTTATTTCAGACTGTAATAGTATAGCATGTGCATTTCTTAATAAATCATTACATTATTTTTTATTAAGTACAGTCCAATGGCAAAAGTAATTAGAAGTTTCAATGTGATTTTTGAAATATTTTATTTAAAAAATACACTGATGACAATGATAAAATAGTTTGATTTACAGTCGGAATATTTTTTATTAAATCCAAAGATTGAACGTGAATGATTTTTAAACATCTGCTTAAATGATTTCATACCAGCTTCTCGAACATTACAGCAGATTTCTAATGGATTTGTAGATCAACCACAAACTTGTCGAGCCACAAACAGCTGTTTCCTTTACATGAGACAACACACTGGTTGTAATACGAAAGGGTTAATTTTCGCTAAGGGGAAGTAAGCTGGGACAAAGCGCGGTCACTTTCCAAATCCCGTTCACTTCAGCATTCAGAATGATGACGGAAAGTAGTGCAAGGACAACACGCGCCAGTCTTCCCGTTGTTTGGTTATGTTAATATTAACGACCCAACAACTCAATAAGACTAGTTTTGATTGCAGGTTTCACAACTCGCTGGGCTTCCTAGGTGTACTAGCCGCGTGTTTTCTGCAAGACCCATCTGCTGAGTGGAAAAGTGCAAAAACGGAGGGGTTATTCAATCAATGTTTTGTTCTGAAACTTAAATATTACAGACTAAAGTTCTTCAGGAGTTGTTGTTTCTTTGAGGTGACGTTAGCCACGTCTGTGTTTTGTTATCTCGGCGTTAGCAGACTGATGTTAGCAGGCGCGTTAGCTACCTCTTCTCCTCAAGTGAGTCGCGCAACCTGGCTTCGTGAGAAGGTTCCTCTTCCAGTCGACGAACCAGTATAACATGTGTCGGGGGCTAGTCTGTTATTGTTATTTACCCTAGATGGATAACTGTAGTTCTTTTTTCTTTTTTCATAAACAATCATATTTCTCTAGGCGCCATCTTAGATCGGTTCTCTCGGACCAATGAGAAAGAGATTTGTAGCTGTGCGGCGCTCTCGCGTTGATGCATCCCGTGATCTCGGGACAAGTGACAGCCAGAGGGCGGACTCTTAAAGCAGCCCTTCACACAAAATTGTTACAGACGAGACACATAGATGACGGTCCACCTTAAAATCCTATTATCTCCAGACAGGCTCTCCGAGTGGTTCACGCACTTCTGGATCTTTTAAGGTGGTCACAGACAGATGAAACAAATATTTGGTTGGTGTTAAAAAAGCTCCGGTCAGTTGAGGGTTAATTCCCACGCACATGGTTGGTACAATTCTCCGTTGGTGCAATGTCCTGTAACCTACTGTATTATGGGTATGTACAACATATATATGTATATATATGTATATAGAAGTGCATATGATTTTTTCAATTAAAAGAAAATTCTTCTAAAAGATGTTTTTTTCTCAAGTATTTCAATACAATACTAAAAGTTGTTTGACGTTACACTTTAACATAATGTTTTAAAATACTAAAGTATAGATGGGAACTTTATCTGCAAGGAAATTTAGAATTTTATAATAAACATAATTTCTTTGATTGTTCTTATTACCTGTGGGTGGCAGTATATTGAACCAGAACTTGAACATCTGCAGTGTATTGATATTTTTTTTGGTTAATTCAAAGAAGTGTTTGTTTGCAGTTTCTGTTTTAACATAATGGTCCAGGGCTGGAAACTGAATTCAAATTCAAGGAGAAGTGTTTGAAGCAGACTTCTTCTTCTTTTTTGTTCCTCCTCCACACTCCTAGTCGAGTCCAAACCTCCCACATGCATCAAATGATTCTTTGTCAGATTAAAACAGAAACATTTTAATTTAAAACATTTATTTTTTTTCTTGTTAAAAAGGACATGTCTCAGAGAAAGAACTAATTTGGCAAAGATCCACTACCTGTCACAAACCAAGAGTCCGTCAGAGCGTCACTGTGAGCATCGTCAGCTACAGCACAATTAAACATGGTACAAACACAAGGTTGGTCTTTATTAAACAGTGATCAAAGTTGCATATTTGTTACAGTGAAAAGTAAATGTGAGGACCTGAGTTGTTTTCCAAAAACATGCAGTCGATCGCTTGCTGTGAGTCGTCTAACTCATCCGTAACACTGAAATCTTCAGAAAAGACCAAAATGATTTCAACAGTGTTTTGTGTCGCAGAGCGGCAGCTCTTCACACTCTCCTGTTTTCTTTGGCATCAAGTCCATCGATCGTTGTCTTCACTGAACGTGTGAACGTGTGGCGTCGTCAGCCTCAGGTATGATCCGTGATAATGATTTCATTCTTCTGGGCGTTGGTAACAGATCGTGTCTCTCTCAGCCAATCAGATCTTCCCAGGATCTTCCTTCAGAGTGACTGTCCTGTTGAAGACCATCTGAAAAGGAAACACAGACGTAGTCAGTGCTGATACGGTCGTCCTCCGTGCGTCCGACCGTTGAAAACATCAGTGTGACCAGCAGCTGTACCTTGTCTGCTGTGCTGTCAGGGTCCACAGAGAAGTAGCCCAGTCTTTCAAACTGGAATTTGTCCAGGGACTTTGCACCTTTCACTGAAGTATCCACTAAGGCACTGCTGATCACATGCAGGGAATCCTACAGGAAATTCATAAACAAATGTCAAACGCAACCAATGCATCCAACACCATTATCATCCAACACTAGCTGTCAATCAAAGTCACTCACAGGGTTGATGTCAGTCAGGAAACCGTTGGGAACTTCTGACGTGTCCTCAGGGTGTTTGTGCAGGAACCTGGAGAAAAACGGCCAAAAAAAAAAAGATGAGGTGAGGAGGGAATGATGGACAGAACCTGGTCCAGGTCAAGGTTTGAATTGTTATTATCATTATTAGGGTTGTAGGTCAAGGTTAGAATTATTATTATCATTATTAGGGTTGTAATTAAATATCAATATTTTGTTTTACAATAACGTATGGCAGCAGTACCAAGGACCAATCAGCCGTTACTATTAGACTTTATTCGGTCTGAATGACCTTTGACCTGTTGTCTTGAAACATTGACAGATTTCTCCTTTCCTTTTTTTTAGTTAGTTGAATTATTATAATCGTTTGCAATTGACATTTCTAAAAAATGATTAGGTTCTAAAAAAAGTTATTAAAAATATAATGCAGCCTTTTGTAACTTACAGCCGTTCATAGAGACGAACTTCACACTCCAGAGGCTGACTGACCCAGTGGATGAACGCCTTTGGTTTCTCCGCAGCCTCAGAAGTGGAGCAGGTCACCTCCAGTTCCACCACTTTACCCTGAGCATCCTGTCCCAAAAATGGTGGAATCGAAATTATTGTAAAACTCAAATATACAGTTTTTAAAAAGTGAAAATTTCAAATGAATAAAGACAGGAAATAAAAGTGACAAAGGAACGTTCACTCCTGGTCTCACCTTAATGACCTTCTCCACAGAGATGACATACCCAGCATGCCTCAGGCCCACTGGCTGTTCTGGGGTCAGACGCTTGTAGCCCTTCTCCATCACCTACAAACCACAGAGAGGCCATCATCACACTGACCTCTGACCTTTTATAAACATTCACTCACTTCTCCCTGACCTCTCTGAAGTCGCTCTGTTCGATGAAGATTGTGCGAGAAAACGGAACGGTGTGGCTGCCCCTGGTCTCGTCGGCCGGGAAGTCCGGAACCTTGAGCTCCGACTGAAGAGAAAGAACAAACACGGTCCAGAAATCAAGGCCGTCCTCTGGTCATTTAGACTGTGGCGTCTCAGTGGACGTTCAGACCTGTGTCCCTTCAGGGAGGTTGACGATGGTGACCTTCAGAGGCTCCAGCACCGCCATGACTCTGGGCGCTGATTCGTTCAACACTTCTCTCACACATGACTCCAGCAGGTGGGGCTCTGTGGTCGTCTGGGACACCGTGACTCCCACCTGAGCAAAGAAGTGGCACGCCATTGAACAACAGCGCCACCTGTCTGTCTGTATTTAACTGTTTGTTTGTTTTTTATTAATCATTCTGCTCACCCGTGCACAGAAGTTGTTGATGGCCTCCGGGGGGAACCCTCGTCTCCTCAGAGCAGTCAGAGTGAAGAGTCGAGGATCGTCCCAGTCTCTGACGGAACATGACTTCACAGTTAGTTCACTCTGGTCACTCTAACACAGATGGACGCACTTTTTTATGTATGACCTCTTGACCTCACCTGACCACACCGGTCTCCACCAGTTTGATGATCTTCCTCTTGGACACCACAGTGTAGGTGAGGTTCAGGCGGCCGTACTCCCACTGCACGGGGCAGTAAAGATCCAGAGCGTTGCACAGCCAGTAATATGAGGAGCGTCTGTCACATGACGAGAGAAACAGAGTCAGACGACACGTGTCATCGATGGTGTCACAACCAGCAGCAGCTCAAATCCAGAGCCTTCCGTCTGTTACGGCAGATGTTCTCTGGAGTTTTCTGGAGGTTTTATTTTTGGTCAGTACCTGGCCTGAAATTCTTTGGTGCACAGGGAGTGGGAGATGTTCTCGATGGAGTCACACAGACAGTGGGTGTAGTCGTACGTGGGGTAGATACACCTGCAGAGAGAAGAGTGGAGGACAGTGAACAGACGAGGGGGGGGGGTGTATTTAGAAGAAGATGTTTACAGTATCTCCTACAGTCACACTCCCCCCGTCAGGTCCTCAGGACTGTGACCTTTGCCCTCTGTGACACCCCACCTTACACCCATCACAGCAGCAGCAGCCAGACCTCCCTACCATTGGTCTCCTGTCCGATGATGTGGCGTGTACTTGATCCTGTAGGCCACCGGGTCCATCTTCCCGTCCTCCATCACCATCTTCATCCTGAGCGTGGCCTCTCCCTCTGAGAACAAGCCTTTCTTCATCCTCTCAAACAGAACCACAGACTCTTCGATAGGCCTGTCTCTCCAAGGTGAGGGCGGGGTATTGTGGCCCTTCAGCTCCTCCCCCTTCTGGTGGCAGATGTAGGCATGACCCCTGAGAGAGACAGAAACCACACGATGAACCACTGAAGGAAATCAACAGACACAGACACAGACACAGACACGGGGGGTCCAGAACTCACCTGCGAAGTTGATCCACAGCCAGATCGTAGAGCTGCTGGAAGTTGTCTGAGGCGTGAGTCACTTCATACGGTGTGTAGCCTTTAAAGAAGAAAACCCACTCATCACGTTATCTGTACCTGGATGTGTTGCTTAAAGGGACGTAACGATGCATCGTGAATGGGTTAAAAAAAACAAACAAAAAAAAAAATCGATAAAAATGCATGACAATTCTCATCGGTTGAAATAAAATAAATCCTGCATCAAGGTGTAAGGAGTAGGCTGAGTGATCTCACACTTCACTAGTCATACCATGACACTACACACTCTAGAACAGTAGGTGGCAGTATGCGCCTAAAACCTTGGTTGTGACCCAGTATTAAACGTGGGAAGAACTTTTAATCCTGATAAAATCATATTGTGAACCAAAAAAAAAATCGTATCAAACATAAAGAGCCACGCCCTCACCGAGCCACTCCACCATGTCTTTGATGGCAGTGAAGTATTTCTCCTCCTCTTTCTCAGGATTGGTGTCGTCGTATCTCAGATAACAAATCCCTTTGTTTGCCTACAGAAGGACAAAAAGTTTAGATCAAACAATAAAAGACAACAATCATGTGACGACACAGGTCCAACCAGACGGTACCTTTGCGTAACCAAAATTGAAGTTAATGGCTTTGGCGTGTCCGATGTGGAGGATACCGTTTGGCTCAGGGGGGAATCTGGTACGGATCTAAAAAGACAAAAAAATATATATAATAAAAGTAGAAGTCGAGGTAGAGGTCAGTCAAATGTAGCTCGTGGCGTCATGACAATAAAAGTCAATTTAACTGGTGATTAAAACCCAGTGCAGCCCACATGGGCTGCTCGTGGTACACATTTGTACCTGTGTTCTTTAGCCACAACAGTAAAAGTGGTACAACAACACAGTGACATTTTTAATGTATATTAATGGACAGTAGTGGAGGCCTACATGTGAAGGTCCTACCTGTCCACCTGTGAACTCCAGGTGCTTCTTCAGCAGGGACATGGTGTTTGGTGTCACCACGTAGCCCTCAGTTTTATAGTTCTCTCCTGGAAACAGATCAACAGATCAGTGTCATCGATCATCAATCATTAATCAACGATCATCCATCATCCATCTCTGCGGTTCCACTGATCAGCCGAGGTTCTCAGGTTCTCACCTGGTTTGTGGAACTTGAGTGCTTCTCCTCTCAGCTGCTCCATCAGAGACATTCCCTCCACTGAGACGGCGTCACCTGAACAAACCAGACACATGACCACACAGACACGTTAGGGTTAAAAACACATCAACCATCCAATGTTCTCCTCCTCCTCCTTCTCCTCCTCCTCACCGTTCACCTCCACCACCTCCTTCTTCGTCGTCTTCGTCGTCACGTTACTTTCTGCAACTTTTACTTTTGGAGCCTGAAACAGAATCAACCAATGAAATTCAACCGTGACTCATAATTGGACATCAGAGGCCACGTGATCAGTGGTACTCAAACCTTTCTGCAGTACCCCCTTTTTGCTGATAGGATCACCGTTACCCTCCACCCCCACACACACACACACACACACACACAGAATCTATACATTGAGAGCCACAGGACTATTTCACACCTGAACTGGAAAGTATTTGAAAAAAGAGCGGCTCCAAAACTGTAATAATGAAAGTGAAATGAATACTCTGGCTACGCCCCTGCTGTGATAGGGCCAAGCCCTCGGGGGGCCACGCCCCACCTTTGATAACCACTGACTTTGTTCTAACAGACTGAGGCTCAGGTTAGTTTGAAATAATAATAATAATTTCATTTTCATTCTTACAGCTGGAACTCCAACATTAGTCAATGATTAAACACACTTTCACTTTCACTGACATTCACTGAACATTTCCTCCTTCCTGTTGTTGTTGTTGTAAACATTCTCTGTAAACACAGTTCAAACTGCATCAACATAGATTAACCTGACACACAAGGTCACATGATGAACACAGAGCTCCGTTTCACTTGGGGGGTTGGTGCGTCACTGTGGTGTTTGTGGTGAAAATGAAAATCTACAGCTGTCTGTCAGAGTGACAACTACAGCAGCAGTGAGAGAGTACTACTGCAGTACCAGTAAGTAAACACTTTTTACCTTAGCTTTCTTCTCCAGGTCTGCCTCTGTCTTTGGTCCCAGGAGATGCAGCACCTTTGGACCAGAGTCCATTTGAGTTAATGGAGGACACAACAACAACAGCAACAACAGCAGCAGCAACAACAACAACAGCAATGAGAAGGTCAATAAATCACCTGCATGTCCACCTCGTTCTTGATGACTTTCCCATCAGCCCATTTGAGGGCAGCGCGGGCTTCACCTGTGACAGACACAAAACCCTCTTGGAATTTAATGACCTCCAGTTAAACCTCAGACTCAGAGATAAAACTATTGTATATTATATGTTTGTCTCGTCTGACTAACAAAAAGTCTCGACTGTTTGAAACACAGCGTCAGTGAAGAGTTCTTTTAAAAAACTACACACAGTCTTGTACAGGTTAATGTAGTAAAGCTGCTGGTTCTTCTTGAAAAACTGCATCTTGTCCCCAGTACTAAAATAAACACAGCACCAAAACTGCAGCTTTAGGCTGACTCTGAGTCAGTCCTTCAGTGTCAGACGTGTGTGTAAAAGTATGCAGTTCTCCTGAGGCAGCCATGTGTTTCTGACTGTACAAAGCAGCTGTCCACTGTGTTACAAAAGTGGGATCGGGTTCACCCACTGTACCACATGACTGACCACATACTCCGGTGCGGACAGGACCGGAGAACCACGTACCCATGAGAAGTCCCATGTTGAAGTGGTACCGTTCCTTCAGCAGGTTCTCCTTGTGCTTCTGTATCACCAGCTCCACCTGCACCACATTCCAGCGTCACCATAAGTTGCAGAGCTCGTTCAAGGACATACTTCTGACCAGTGGGGGCTTGTTCACTTACTGCATCTTCAATCTGCTCCGGGGTTGTGACCACGCCCACTCCACAGGCTTCTTCAAAGGCCTTCTGGTCGACTGGATCTTCAGGGTGACTTTTGAAGAACTCCAGGGCAGCTGCACAAAGATGATGGAACATTAATAATTACTTCTGGTCGATGTCATTACTCCACAAAGATCGTTAGTCTAATTAAACATCGTACGATCAACATTTGTCACGTCACCTGCCAGCTGCAGCTCTGTGCTGAGTTTACGCCGTGCGATGCACTCCGCCAGAAACACGACACGTTTTGTGTCCTTAAGACGAGACGCCATGCTGTACAGCAGCGTGCCCACGGCTTTGTCCACGCCGGACGCTCCGTGGACTCTCTGGGCCTGTGGAAGTAAGATGAGCAACACTTTAAAGGAATAGTTTGGATTTTTTTGTCTTAAGAAAGAGTTACTCCCTAACTTCATGTGTCATATCACAGATTGTGTGTGTGTGTATGTGTGTGTGTGTGTGTGTGTACAATGAGATAATAAACAATGAGATAAATGTTATCGGTTTTCTTTTAAATCATGTGACCTGTCATTTCCTGATGTTTGTGGTCACTGGCAGCAGATGAAACTGTCTGTGGAATAATGAGTGAACTACAACATTTCATCAACTGTCATTTATTCATCACATTCGAACTCTTTAAACCTTCTTTAATCTTTAGAATGGGAGGTTTGTACCGAGTACATTTACCAGTTAATCCTACATTTGATGGGAACAACGTTTACACCGACACAATTAAAAAACAAATACTTTAATAACTTTAAAATGTGATTCTTAAAAAAGCACAGCCTCGTTAAATCTACCGTCTTTGTTTACCTCTTGGGGCATTAACGGATATTAAAAACTACAAAGTCAACTATTACATTTAAAACCCCGAGTCTTCCTGGTAACATGCGGGTGTTTGGAAAATAAGTTTACTACCAGAGAACAGATATTGTGTTAATAAGTTTACTACCAGAGAACAGATATAGGGTGAAACGGTAAAGAACTAAGATGAAGAGAAAGGAAATAAACAAGTTAACGACATCAAAGTTACAGTCGCCCCTCACCACACACGGCGTCTCACCTGTAACACCGCGTCCTTCAGGACGGAACTCAGCGCCTCATTCTTCAGCGTCTCTTTTGCCTTCTGCTCGCTGAGACCTATCGAAGTAAAAAGTGTCAACGTGTCCGCCATTTTTTACCGTTAAATTACCGGCTCGGCCGAACCACACAACTCGCACACTCGTTGTCCAGAAAGGGAGTCAAGACTGTCGCGCAACTTCCTGTACACCCTCAATAAAAAGTACAAAAATATGAACCAATTAGAAACAGCTACCGTTACAGGCGTAAGCCAATGGGTGGATGTTTTCGTGTGTAAACCCTGCCTACTGCGACCGAGAAACTGTTCAGCTACGGCATAACATCGGGAGGGATGGGCTTCCGGAAATCGTAACGTTGCATCAGTTTGACATCGGTTCATAATATTGATCAAAAGCACATATTTAGTATCAACACTTTGTTCAACAAAAAGGTTACCACGACGGATATACAAGATGTTAGCATTCAATGTAGCAGCATGTTTGACTGTTTGACTGTTAAGACATTTGACTGTTAAGAGCACCCGCCAATCGTAGCAGCATGTGTTTGACTGTTAAGAGCACCCGCCAATGTATACACACACACATATATATATTCCATTGCCTGGCACTGTGGTATGTCAATAAAAAATTAAATTATTGTACATTGGATCACAGTTTAAATAAACTGTCCTTGAAATGTGCATTTTTTTACCAAATGGCTCTTCTCAAATGTGTGAGCGTGAACCCAGGTAATGTTTTGGTTGTCCATCTTTATGACGTAAACTCCGCGAAAGCTTTTTGTCAACACTGAGCAGATACACAAGCTGGGCGACTACAGGGGATGTTGTGATCTGCTGTATGCTGCACCGTCCGTGTCACTTAGTAAATGTTTTAGCAGATTCTAAGAAGCTTATTCTACAACATCGATGGCCAAACATGCGGTACTTTCGTCGGGAACACATTTGTGGAGATCGCTGGCGTGTGCTAAGTCCGAGCTGCGTCTGGACTTGACGCTCGCCTGCGGACAGTCTTTCCGGTAGGATTGTTGGAGTTAAAACACAAATGTTTCAGCTAATGCACCGAGGTGAGTGCAGTTACATTGACCACCGGTCCCTACTTAACCCGAATCCAAACCCACAGCTGGAGAGAGACGGCGGAAGGCCACTGGACCGGGGTGATGAGGGGACGAGTGTGGACCCTGACCCAAACAGATGACACTCTGTGGTACCACGTGTATGACGAAAGGAAATGTGGCACGAGGAAGAGAACCGGCGACTCTTCGGAACAAAAACTCAAAGAGTTCGTGAAGGAGGAGGAGGATGGAGAGGAAGAAGAACAGCTGAGAGACTACTTCCAGTTGAATGTGAAGCTGGAGACACTGTACACTGAGTGGGGAGCAGCAGACCCCCACTTCAAGAAGATTGCTAATATCTTTACAGGTCAGTGTACGCTGGTCATCACAGAGCAGTGAGATCCTGTTAATGTTGTCGTCAGAACTCCACAACAACAACAACAACAACAACAGCACAGACACGTGGTTATCAAAGCACTCGTTGTTTTTAATGACATTTTCTTTTCTTTCTTTTTTCCTTCATTCCTTCACCCAAGGTTTTGAAAAAAAAATAGCTGGAACCAGTCCGTGTTACTGTAGTCAAAAAGTAGCTGGAACCAGTCCGTGTTACTGTAGCAAGTCTGCCAGAAATAAGAATATTAAGTCGTTTTTTTTTTTCACTTTTTACGTCGCACAGCTGCAGCGACAATTCTAGACCTGCTGTTCATTCCTGAAGTGAAACTTGTCACATGAATACAGATGCCTGCCTTTTCCCAGGCACATTTCTAACCTCCATATACAGTATCTACAATTGTACAGTATGGCACATATTTTGCCATGTTGTACCCATGTTGTCCACTAGGCGGTGATATCCATATAGCTGTCCGTATGTAGAGAACGAGTTGCTTTGTTGAGTTTAAAATGTTTTAAATATTATAACAATTGAATATTGAATCATTTTAACAACCTCCCCCTCTCTCCCCCTCCCCCCCTCCCCCCCCCCCCCCCCAACTCTCATGTCTATGTGTAAACACTGGAGGGAGCCGTTGTTATGAACCTGTTTAGATTGAATCTGTCAAATGTGAGAGGCAGTAAATGGTTTCCTCCTCCTCAGGTGTGAGGCTGCTGCGGCAGGAGCCCACTGAATGTCTGTTCTCCTTCATCTGCACCTCCAACAACCACATCTCTCGAATCACGGGCATGGTGGAGCGGCTGTGCCAGGCTCTGGGCGCCCCGCTGGACCAGCTGGACCGGACCACCTACTATGACTTCCCTTCACTGAGCGCTCTGGCAGGTAAGTTTCTCTTCTCCCGAACGCCCAGTGGAATTCCGTTTGAACCCACGTTGAACCGCCCTGCCGTCACCTGCAGACGGCAGCGTAGAGACCCGGCTCAGGGACCTCGGGTTTGGATACAGGGCTCAGTTCCTGCAGCAGAGCGCCAAGAAAATTCTGGACTCCTACGGAACCCAGTGGCTGGAGGGATTGCGCAACGTCCCGTACCTGGAGGCCCACGATGCTCTGCGTACTCTTCCTGGTGTTGGCACCAAGGTACAGACCAAACAGGATTAAAACCAACACAGGAACCAATTGAAGTCAGTGCTGTTGACCTAACACATGCTGCCTCTCACACGTAGGTGGCAGACTGCGTCTGTCTGATGTCACTGGACAAAGCCGAGGCCGTGCCTGTCGACACGCACGTGTGGCAGATTGCCAAGCGTGACTACCAGTTTGCCTCCAGTGGCCGACAGAAGAGCATCACGGACAAACTCCACAGAGACATCGGTCGGTGGTTTGTCTCGTCTGTGACCTTCACACCGTCCTTCAGTCCTTCACACAGAGATTTGTTTCAATTACAGGTCATTTTTTCAGAAACCTCTGGGGTCCGTACGCTGGTTGGACACAGTCGGTCAGTACTGCAGCCTAACGTCCACTGACAACAGTTTGCTCCGTCGTTCAGTCTCACCATTGTAGCCTTTTCTAGCTTCGCTCCGTTGTTCAGTCTCACCATTGTAGCCTTTTCTGTGAAGGTGTTGTTCTGCGCTGACCTCAAGAAGTTTCAGCAGCTGAAGGAAACACAGAGTGTGGAGCAGCCGAGGAACCAGGAGGAACGTGTGGAGGAAGAGAGCGACGCAGCCAAGAGTGAGAGTAAAGAACGGTCGAAGCCAAAGAAATCAAACCTGTGTAGTGAGAAAACTACGACATATGTGAAGAAGAGGAGGATGTAAATTTATATTTTTTTTATATTTTTTTTAAGTTTCTGGATATTTAAAAATACATCTAATATTTATACCTGTTATTTTCTGTGTCAACGTTTTCAGGTGATGGATTTTTATTACATTTTCTAATTGAATAACACACTCATTAACCTGGATATTGTAGAAAGATTGTCATGTTTTTATATTTTCTAACCTTTCTGAACTCATCTTTACTTCAGTAAGTTAAAACTGTATAAACATAAAAGATAAATACCATTTTTAAAAAATCCTATAAAAGTGTGAACTCTATTTTTGGTTTAAACCGTCGGTGTTGCCTTGTTATTTTGATGTGGTCCATATCGGTCAGAAGGTGGCAGTATGGAGTCTTAAACCCATCCTGTGGCTCCACAGTCAAGTGTTCTGAACCAATGACGATGTGTGTTTGAGACAAGCGCATGATTGGTTGAAAACTAGGAAGTGGGCGGGTCTACGGCTGTGACGAAGGTGAGAGATTTTTGATTTTTGTTCCTCAGGTTCCTAAAAGTAAACTCAGTCCACATAATTTTTGTTCCTCAAGTTCCTAAAAGTAAACTCAGTCCACATACTGTACAGAATTATTCATTTTCCACATCTTTTATTTTTCCAAACATTTAAATCTCCTTTTGTACAACGTTAAAACTGCTGTATTCTGTTTTAAAGAAAACATAAGGGACGTGGACCTCGTCTGAAACAGAAAACTTACCAGTAACTTAGTACTAGTAACTTAGTACTAGTAACTTAGTAAATACAACTGAAGCTGCTGTTTTTGACCTGTTCTGAATTAAAGACCTTCTTCTGCACAGAATTCAAACACAAACATTCATCCTGTGAGAGAAGCTCAACGTCATCGTTATAAATCGAACACTTAAGCATTAACATGTTCAAAACTAAAATTTTTTTTAATCAGTCATTGAAGCCACGCCCCTTCATCACAGCACCTTTCATATTATATCACGTACAAAACATAAATAAAATAAAACCTTAAAACACTTTTTCTTTTTTTACCTTTAAAACTTGTATTTGTGTCCGGCTCAGGTCACACCGTTTACCCTCATGACCCCGTGACCTTTCAGCAGTCAATGTTAATACTGGTCAGCAGGTCCTCCAGGATCTCAAGCTTCTGATTGGCCTCCTCAATTTCACTGTATGTTTGCACATTGCCAGCGATGTGGTAACGGATCTCATCCACCAGGGGGACGGAGTCCGTCTCGTGCCGATCCTCGAGCGACGCAGCGTCCTCTACGATTATCTCTACAAACTCAGGCTGCTTCACCAGCTGTGAACACACACACACACACAGTCACACACACACACACACCAACAGCATGAACGTAGTGACGAGAACAGACGTCTTTGTTCAGGAGTCGGCGCTCGCTCGTCACCTACCAGGTCGATGATTTTGGCCATGAACTCGATGCACTGGTCCTCCAGCCGAGACAGACGGAACAGTCTGGCCGTCTTCCACAGGAACAGGACGTTGTGGTCACGGATGGTGGCGGCCAGAGTCTTCCCGCACAGACGCTTCAGTCCTGGCAGCAGGTACATGTCGGCCACGCACAGTACGTCCAGCGTGTTCTCCGTCGTCAGCTGAGGCACAGGTCAAAGGTCAAGAGTCACAGGTAGAAGTACTTTTGAAAAAAACACGTACACGTCTGTTTTCAGGTTTTTCTCATCAATTACGATGGATTACTAAGTCGATCGATTACTAAATCGATGGATTAACGGACCTCGTGTCATTAACCATTCGTGTGAAAAACAACCACATTTAGATTTGATTTGATGATTTGTTTGTTCCTAACTCTGGAACAGAGGGATCTACATTTGGAATCATGAGAGAAGAAAGAAAAGAAAAAGAACATGAACCAACACCAGGAATATTGGAGAAAATCAATAACTGATCAATGACTGAGGAGATATTGATACGGGATCAGGGAGTGTATCAGTCTGTTCTTCTACTCCTCCTCACTACACTGTGGTGTCAGTTCTCCCTCCACCCCCATAATTACCTCATACCC